GACCCAACTTCCGGTTGACCTAGACGTTCAACCCCACCTCCCCAAATTTGCTATTATTCGCCACTCTCTCTCTCTCTCAAAGGCAGAGGGAGCGCGAATAACCGCCCCACCACCCTTAATTGGTCTCACTTCGTGGACCCTCACACCAAGTGAGGGACCCACCTCCTTGACCACTTTATCGATAACTTCCTTAGAGGAAGTTGTCGGCCCCTTACTCCTGACCACGACCGACCAGGTTTCGAYAGGCTTCGGCGCCACCGGTGCAATTGCTTCCAGCACAGGTGCTCGAGGCGCAGGCATCGGTGCCGACGGAGCCGGCATTGACCTGCTCGGCGTCRAGGAGTGTCTCCCACAACTTCCTCTAAGGGCATCTACCTGACCGCGAAGATGGGCATTCTCGGTTATTACCGTCATCAAGAGTGCCTCATATTTTGAGGAAAGCTCCAACAACCCCTTCGCAGTCCCTACATCAAAATTTTTCGCCTCAAAGACCAGCTCGTTGAGCTCCCCCGTGATTCTTTTGGCAGCCGCAACATGGCTGACTGCCCCACCCCCAACGACAACTGCCCCCCGTGAAACATCCCGCGTACTCTCTTTTTTGGCACTCGAGACGCGAGTGCCCGCTTTCGTAGCGCCCTTACCGACGCCTCTCACCCCCGTGTTAGCCGGATGGGCTTTTACAGCGGCGGCCACGCTTCCGCTACCGCTCTCTCCCTCTCACGCGACGACCCCATACGCATGCTCGCTTTCTCGGTSGTGGCCACAATGGCACTACCACCACAACTCCCGCTCCCTCCCTCATACCCACTTACTTTACACGGCGACCCCGCACGCGAAACSYCTTTCTCAGCGGTGGCCATGTTGGCACCCCCGCCACAACTACCGCTCCCTCCCTTACTTGCGTCCTCTAGACGCGGCGACCCCAAACGCGCCTTACTACGCGGTGGAGACCTTACCSCAACCGTCGTCTCCCCTTCACCGCCCGACGTGGAGTCATCCACGACTGTAGAAGCGGCGGAATCTCGCATCCTCTTCCGTCCAGGAGGCATCTCACTTCCCGACTCACCCTTCAGTCGAACTGATCCGCTGGCGTACCACTAGCRTAGAAAGCTCTTGGCCAGAAAGATTCTGGAGYAGCTGCTCGCCAGATACCTGCGTCTGAACGCGCTGAAAAAGTGCGACCCACGCGAAGGCCCGCTCAGTAAAAGTGACCACCCAAGCGGTCGATTATAGCGTGCCCGCAGTGGCACAGCCCACAACCCCAACCTGTGGTCGGATTAAGGCCACTCAATTGGCCGCCGGACGGACAATGTCCCGTAACGGTCTGGAGTCGACCGATGTGGCGCTGAACCGCATCACACCGTGGGCTAAACGGTTCGCTTTTATGACCGTTGGTCCTCACAGGAGTCGCAATCTCCAACGCTGGACAGACGCCTGCACCCTTTGGGCAATCCTGTCCAGACTCCCCTGACACTGAGCCAACTAAACACCAGTTGCTCAGCACAGAACTACTGTCAGGCAGTCCAGTCAGCAAGAATGCCAACAACACGGTGCTGCACTGGAACCGTGCAAAGCTTCCGCCAATAGCAACAACGTGGATGACCACGTTGTCCGTATATAGGGTAGTAATAATAAAGTTACTTACCGCTATGCCCCATGATTATGTACACAAAAATGCACAAAATTGTGTACCCGCACAAAAACCACTCGCGGTCAACAACCCACGCACACACGATCGCACAAACAAAATCACCGACCGCTACACACGCGCGCCAGGCAATAACGGTGTCAGCTAAATCGCGTAAACAAATTACCGCACAAAAGAGAATCGCAAAAGAAATCACCGAAAAAAAAAACACATGGGAAAATATCGCAACGATGCGCACGCACGTCTATTCGCGTTGAGAGTCAACTAACGAATGACTGTTGACAGTCATAACTTTGAAGTTGTAGCTAATTTCGTCTATCTTGGAACGAGCGTAAACACCACCAACAATGCCAGCCTGGAAATCTAACGCAGGATAACTCTTGCCAACAGGCGCTACTTTGGACTGAGTAGGCAATTGAGAAGCGAAGTCCTCGACAAACAAAAACCAAACTATAAGTCACTAATAATTCCCGTCCTGCTATATGGTGCAGAGGCTTGGACGATGTCAACAACTGATGAGTCGACATTGTGAGTTTTCGAGAGAAAAGTTCTCCCAAAGATTTATTGCATTGTATGGAACGATGAGCTGTATGAGATATATGACGATATTGACATAGTTCAGTGAATTAAAAAGCAGCTACGCTGGCTAGGTCATGTTGTCCGAATGGACGAAAACACTCCAGCTCTGAAAGTATTCGATGCTGTACCCGCCGGGGGAAGCAGACCAAGAGGAAGTCCTCTACTCCGTTGGAAGGACCAGGTGGAGAAGGACCTGGCTACGGTTGGAATATCCAATTGGCGCCACGTAGTGAAAAGATGAAACGACTGGCGCGCTATTGTTAACTCGGCTATAAACGCCGATTAATACAATAGCTATAGAAAAAATGGAAATTTTAAACCCGACAATTTTAAATTTAGACGAGATTAAAAGCATAATTAAAAATGAACATGGACGATTGACAATAACTGAATTAATAGATATTTCAAATTCTAAAATAGTACAAAATAAAGATTTAAAATTATATATGATTGCAAATATTACGAAGTAATATCAATTACACAAAAAGAAGGTAATGAAATTGTGATATTCAAAAAAGAATATGTAAATATAAAAAATATAAAATAATAAAAATACTTGCCTATCAGATATTTTGTCCAATAAAAAAGGAAAATGTAAACAAATTAAAGAAAAACATAAGGATATAGATATAATTAATAAAAGAGATAAAAGATTATTCTCTGGAAATCATACTATAGATGACTCTGCCATAAATGGAGTTTACTTTGTAACATTTGTAAACTATACAAACATTGATAATATAATTTATGAAAATGTTGATTGTAAAATGTGAAAATATTTAAAAATAATCATATTAATAACTTGAAATTTGAGAATATATTGAAACAAAGAATAAAGAATTTAAATTTGAAAACATACATAAATAGTTTGAGCGAACGAAATAAGGAACTTTAAAATCTTTCGCTTTTCTGGTACATGATTGTAATACTTGTACTATTAATAATAATATACATAATCTATAAAATTTTAAAACTAAAAAAATCATATAAAACTAAGAAAAGCAAAGAATTAAAATTCCAAGAATTGTCATATAACGCTTTTTTAGAAAAAATTTACAATATATCAAAAAATTATACCGAATCGGTGACGATTCATCTTAGAGAGGGGGAGTTACCGTCAGCAGCCACACAGACACTTTATGATAAATGTATCTTCCCATGGTATTACTGCTTGGTGAGCAGAATACTTTAATTAATAAGAAATTAATACATCATTTGTAGCTAAATGAGTAGCGACGTCGCATCACATTCACATCAATTCACCACACCGAATCAACCATTCAAATCATCACGCGAGAGAACACCACACATTAACACACATACACGCKCATGCATCCAAACGCGTTGACATTTTTCCTTTCGCTACCCGCCTTTATATACATATATTTAAAAGTTTTCAATTCAATGTATATTAAAGACCTTTCATAATAACTTTCACCATTGTATATATACAGTAGTATATACATATATAAGTATGTAATATAATTATATAATATTTAACGTTTTTAAAACTGTTTAAATTTTTAATATTACAAATAAAAGGTTTATAACGATTTTCGGAATTGGTGCATTTTTGATTTTTTTTAAAGAAAGTGTGAGTGACATAGAAGGTGAGTTTATTGTACAATTTGTTTTGATAAGTAAGCATAATTCAATATTCCATTATTTGTTCTGATAATGAGAATAATTGGAAATTCAATGCTCCAGCATTTCATCACTTAATGTAATGACAAAGTATTTTTAGTAATAAGCCGTTACATATAGAATTATAACAATATAAATATAAGTAATTTTACTAATATAGATCAGTGTGTAATCGGCGAGCGCAGTGAGTAATTAGCTTGAAATGAGAGCGTAGCAAGTATTGCCGCACTCAAAGAAACACGTTGTGTTTTATTTCTACCGCGCATAGCGGAACGGAAAACGGCTTAGGTGTCAAAAAATGCAAAAAATCAATTTTCACTTTTTAGTTGATTCGGATGGAAGATGAGATTTTTAACAGTTGTTTCCCAGGAAACTAGTTTTCGCACGTTAGCTCCCTTTTCGTAGACCAGGGTAACATATATCTATTATGTAAAAGCGGTAGAGAGTAGCGGATCACACAAGCTGTACCAGCAAAATATACCGTAATTAGACGAATATTGGAATTAAATATGTGTGGAACTAGATAGCAAATGGCAGAAGTAATGCCATTTTTAAAATAATGATACAGACTTTACAGGATCTTTTACAGGATATGAGGAGGGTGTCCAATCAAAGCTCCATAATGATGCCTTCCATTACTAGGATAACAGAGACTATAAAGCAAACCCAACCACCTAACACCACTTTCTCTTTGGTGCCAGCCCTACCTATCGCTATGTGACTTAACACTTTTCCCTAAATGGTCTAGGTATTGACTATAACAACTGCTAAGAAATATTAAAGAAGAAGTGGCGTTCGCTGGCGACAGTCCAAAGTCGATTGATTAGTAGTTGTACGCAATTATAACTAGGGATCACAAACCATAAACAAATTTGAGAGTTTGGTTGGATTACTATAGACCAGTTGCTAATTGGATTGTTACCCTCGGGAATAGTGTACCATTCGAACGAATTGGGAAAGATATATGTAGAAATTTTCTTTATGGATTATTTCAAAGAATAGTCTGGAGATAGTTCCAATATATTGGTATGCCAGGTGATGGGTTTGTATCCTGTGATCGATTGTACTAAATATTTTTTGCAAACAATTAATTAACACTTAAAAGTATAAAAAAAAATTAAATCAAATGTAAGCTTCTCATTATCCAATAAATAGTATATTACAAATAAATTGAACGATCAGTCGCATTTTGTTTCTTATTAGCTATTTTTGATCCAAACTGAATTGCTCTTTTTTTTTCATAGGCTATATTTCTTAAGCCTAATTGGAAACCATATAGTCGTAAAAATAATTTATCACCTACTCCTTCTTTCAGTAGAAAGCAACAAAGCTGCGATGGTGAGAAGCTGCGAACGTACTGAACTAGATGTTCTTCAATGAAAGGGGCTCTTAACGTTTTACTATTATCTGCTACAACCCTGTCATCGCGCCCTAAATTTCGAGCCCAGATTCGGTTCCAATCCTTATCCAATTCTTTATGAAGGTTTTCCAGTTTTTCGGTATCAGTACCTTTAAAGCGCCAAAACGCATTCCTATGGCGCGTATATCCTCCAAATAGCTCATCCGCGCCACTTCCAACTATAACAACCTGAAAGTATGAGTCAATATTAAACATGAAATTAGCCGTTTTTTTTACATGTTGATCATATATAGACACATGTGTCCAAATAAATATTACACAAAATATTTTTACTATAATATATTCCAGTTTTTTTTTTTAACTTTAAGTGGAGGACATTATAACAGTGGAAAAGCCTTAAAATATATGTGTAATTTCCGAAAATTCGATTTTTTTGCATTATTGGGATATTATACACTGTAATTATCACGGTCGCTACAGAGTTTCTTGTAGAAAGGGAACAAAGTGGGGAACGGATCGAGACAATCCTTAAACGCGTTTTTCTCAGAGTGATGTTTTTCAAAACGGTTTCCACTCTCAAAGGAAGAGTTTTGAAGATATCTAGTTCCAATTTGAAGAGAACATTTTTAAGGTCACACTGTATCGCGCAATAGAAGTTTTTTTAAATCTTCCTATTTTTTCTACCAAAAACTGTCAAAAAAGGCCCAAATTCGTTACATTTTTATTCAAACCGCCGTCATTTTGTAAAATTTCAAAAAAAAAAATTTCCAAAGGGCGATTGCGACTTTCTCACAGATTAGTAACCTTTTTAAAATTTTTGGTTTAGATCAAAATTGCAGCCCCAATCATAGACACTTTTTTTACGTGTCATTTCAACAATTACGATACTTAGCGATTTTAACGATAGAAAATTAAGGTTTTATTTTTTGTGTTGATGCGCATTTTGAAGTTTTAACTCCTCAACTTTTTATAGGAAAGTTTAAAGCTTTTAAATTTGGTCAACAAAAAACCTCTAAACTTTATTTGTCACAGGTTGTTTTGATAATGTTTACTGGGGTACTTGAAACGTGGTTATTTTAGAATTTGGAAGAAGGAAAAAATACTAAAAGCTGGATTTTTGGACACATTTTTACAAAAAAAAATCAGTACACATTTCGCGAAGTTTTTTAAATAGTTGTAATCGAAAAAAAAATCTTTCGTCTAAGTCTTTAAGAATTGTATCTCAAAGATCCGTGTTAAATTGCATGAAGACCGGTTGAGTAGTTCTCGAGAAACCGACTTCAAAAACACAGTTTCAAGAAAAACGCCTTAAAAGACGGCGTACTTAGCCTAGCTAGCCTCCAACATGACTATACAAATTTTTAATAATTTTTTAATAGCTTCCAGGGTGGCCAGTTTTTTCTTAAAACTACATTTTTCAAATTGGCTGCAAAAATCACTTTGATTTTTTTCTGCTTATTTAGTATAAATGCATTTCTCCGTACAATGTTTATTCAGTTATTTGATGGTATGGAAAAATTAGACATTTCTTTTAAAGTCTGGCATTTTGTTAAATTTAAGTCATTCTATAAACAATATCTTAGATATTTATTATATTTTTACTTTCAGTGTTCCTAACCACAGTCAAGAATTTCAAAGTTGATGTTTTTAAATGTTCACTTTTATTTTAATGTTATTTAGAGCATATTGTAATTCATTTTAAAATATTGAGGCTACTAAGTGTTCAGATATAGACTTATGTTTTCTGTAACGAAATCTATCGAAAGATATTGTAATGTTAGTTTTGTATTTCAGATCGCGGCAAAATCGTACTTCTCATATGTAGGGATGAGTAGATAGGTAGCTAATCTTACTTAAACTATTCAAGGAATGAGTAAAGTCAATTATTTCCACTTTGAAATTCTTCCAAATAGCAGATGTGTTCAATTTAAAACAAAAATATTATTTGCTGGGAAATGTTACTTGTGTGTATTTAAAGGATGTACAAAAGAAAATATGTAATGAAATATGGTAAGATAAAAAAATATTTTAGAAAACTAGCAAATTATATTTTTTTTTTTTTTGAGAGAATGATACGAAAGAAATAGAAATTTACCGACTCCAATTGCTACAAAAGTTCTACAACCGTATCAAAATGTTAAAAAAGTTTTAGTGAAAAAAGTTGGGAAATGTTTCAACTTAACATAACTTATACACATATGTGAATCAAAAAAAGAAGGGACGATAAAAACTAACTTAACACTATGACATTATATTTATAAATCAGGACTTTGTATCACATAAGCGATAAGAAATAAAAATAGATATTGATTAAA